GTTCCCGCTTATTTGAATGATTAGCCCAAGGCCATAGAGGCTACAGATGACTAGCAGAGCTGAGGTACATATGCATGGCATAGTTGCAATGGAGGCTGCAGAAAATGTGTCTGGCATTTTCCTTCTCTCCACCACCATGACTGGAAAGATGGGACATTCCCTCACACACAGGAAGAGAACTCAGGTTCTAGGAATCACAAATGTCCACTATACTTATCTTCCGTGTATTGTTATCAGTCAAGATTTTGTCAAGCTGTTTTTTATAGTTTGTACAATAAACCTTTTCATTGTATATATCGTATATATATAGTATTATATAATACATATTATTATAATATATATAATTAATGTGTGTGTATATATGTGCATATATACACCTATACGCACATTCACTCTCCTATCCTAAGATTTTAAATATGCCCCCAAATGGGGATCTGCCCACTATTACCTCACTGGGAAGCATACCTCAAAAAACTAATAGTCTAGCAAGAAAAGCAACCTCCCCACTTCACCAAGATGAGACGGCTGCCCTTTCATCACAAGTACTTCTGACATAATATTGATTTCACTACATGAACACGTAAGTTTCTTGATCTCTCATTAGGTTATGTGTTCCAACAAGGCAGGGGCTGTCCTGTTGATCGCTGCATCCCTTGAACTTAGCACAAATATGCATTCAAAATTCCTTGATAAATACAGTATTTCCTTTGTCTTCAAAATAATTTGCCTTAGTTTACCTCCAGATCTATAAAGTGTGATAGGATCACTTGTGTTATCTTAAATGAGAAAACTGAGAGCAGAGGGTCATGTATTCTGCCAGATGTCATTCAGCTAGTAGGAGGGAGAATTAGGATTCAGATTGAGATCTGTCTTATACCAAAGTCTGTCGTCTTTCTATTACACATTTTAAAACTATGACAAAATTTGTTACATAGCAAAAGCAGATACAGGTCTAAAGGCCAATGGAAATACTGATGCTTAAAAATTAATTCTGCTCAAAAGGGGTCATGAAAATTAGGAGAGAATTGGAATATGAATGGGGATTTACAGAATAGTTTGTCTGGAAGCATAGACAGATTTTAAGGAAGTTCCTTCATCTCTGCAGTAAAAAGAGGGCAGTAATCATTTCTGTTTTCAGTGTTTTTCTGAAGACTACAAAGATAGCGCATATAAATTGCTTAACACTGGATATAGCAGAGCAGATTTTCAGTAAGGAGAGGAGAAGGAGAAGAAAAAGAAGAGTTTGCTGGAAATCAGGGCTCTCCTAGGTAAGTTAGAAGCTTGTACCAAAAAAGATCAAGAAAAAAGTAAGTCAAACGCACTGGGAATGCTGGAAAAACAGCTTTGCAAAGGTAGTCCCTCATCCCTATCTCAAATTTTTCAAGCTATATTCACATACAGTGAGAGTATAAATGTAAAAAATATATATATAAATAGCAGTAAAAAGAAAATTTCTGAATCCTAAATATGGTAGTACCTTTACTAGAAGATGACCTAAAAGTTTCCACTCCTCAGACATTTTAAAAACAGACTATTATAAAAGCTTATTAAGTGAGAAATAGACATAATCTTGAATAGGTTCTTCCAAACTTGAGATCCCCTGTGAAAAGCACCAATTTATACATCGAAGTATGTAGCACAGAACATAATTTCTCTTATTCAATCATTCAGAGCAATTATAGCAAATGAAATATGAGGAAAACACTGTGGGACCCCCCCGTCAAAGGTAACCCTTATACTAGTGTATCATTAGTCTATTTCCACACCTCTATCCCTCACCTTTTTAGCTTTTTGTTCTCTGGGAGAATTAAAAAAGAAAAAAAAAAAAAGGTGAACAGTTTGTTTTTCAATTATCAGAAGAGTATTTGCCTATTATATATTGTTTAGTACAGTCATTTTTAAACTCCACAGAAGTTCTACTAATATTTGCCAATAAACACTTGTAAATAAAGCAAAGTAAAATCAATATTTCAGAGTAATCCATTGTTCTGAAAAGTAAGAGTGCATGTTTAATTTTAATAACTCACCAGAAGGAACATTGACAAATTGTATTATTTACCAGAGAATAAATTAACATACATAAAACATGATATAATTTTATTTAAATTAAAACAAAACTTTTTTCAATTATTTTTCTTTTGAAAAACATCTAATTTTCTAGACTGATGGTGAAAGGGCATTCACTTTGAATTTTAAGGCAGCGAAGCCATCTTGTGGTTGATGTCGGTACTGCTAGAGCTTTGAGTGGGTCCCTCCCATTTGTAAAATTAGGTCTTTAATCACAGTTTGACCTTTAAAAAGGCATATACAACCTGTCATTTTTAAAACTTAGAAGGAAAAAATAAATACAGACCTGAAAGTCTTTCCTTTTAGTAATGCATAATGTCATCACGTAGCTGGACTGGTAAAGTATTTTTAAAATAACCTCTACTTTATAATTATACACTTTGGTTCAGAGGCTTAAGGTATGAAAATCACTACTGCAAAATATTATGCTTAAAAAATATGAAAAATACTAAACAGTTTTGTAGAAAAAATAGTTTTACTTCTTTTTTTGTAATGACTTTGTTCCGTGATTTTTAGCTAATAAGCCACCAGATTCCAAGAACTTATAATATCTAAGAAATGCAAAGTCTGCTCTAAAACACTCAGAAAAAAAGTTACAAAGGTGGCTTCCCCACCACACCTCCCTCCACTCTCATAATCTAAACCTCAAAGATAAACTGCCTATGGGAAGACATGGCTTGGGCTTGGAAGCCTGGAGACAGCAGTCATCTTCCCCCTCAGCATTTTTTTTTTTTCTTTTTTAAGTATGCTGGGAGTGGGCATTAAACTCATGACCCTGAGACCAAGACCTGAGCTGAGAGCAAGAGTCAAACACTCAACTGACACCCAGGCATCCCATTCCCCTTCGGCATTTTTAAAAATTTGTTTGAAACCTTTTCATTAAGGTTATGGGCAACCTTAGGGAGAAAATATAGGAACTGAAAAACAATGTTAAGAGAATGGAAGGAAAGAGAAAAGAACCTGAACAAAACTATTATATTAATTAATGATTAAGTTACTTGCACTTTTTGCCATTCTACTTTCTTCCAAATTAACAGTGATAACTAAAAACAATTATTAAGACTTCAGCCTCACACCCCAGATGACAATGCCTTTCTGAAGGCCCCAGATCTGTCTTAGAACAAAAAAGATGTAAATTAAATGTATCCAGGATTAACTGTCTTCTAACTACAGGCCTACAATCTTTCTTACCTGATCACAGTTCAATCAGCTCTCCATTTTTCCTTTCCACCCTCAAATTCCTAAATGCTAAAAATGGTATTATCCAAGACTTAGTAAATATAATAACAATACACACCATGTGTGCATTTACTTTTGGCCTCTTTTGGGAGAAGTCTGAAGACTCCTCTCTACACTCCTTTAATCTACCTCCAAAGAGGATTATTGCTTCGATGTTAGTCACTTTTCTTGTAAAGAACAGTTGTACTCATCAGACCTCTCCAAGATTGCTGCCTAATCTGGGATTCTATAGTCCAGAAACTTACTAAGTATGTTTCCCAGACCACCAGAATCAACATCCCATGGAAACTTGTCCAAAATACAGATTCTCAGGCTCTATCCTAATTCAATGGAATCAGAAACAGGGGAATCCGGGGGTAGAAGGGAGGGGCTGGCCATCTGTGTTTTATCCAAGTTTCACGGTGATTCTGGTATACGATGAAGTCTGAAAACTACTACCACAACCCAAAAAAGAGATGTATGAAAACTGGAGAGAACTCTGAGAACAATGAAGTTGAATGGAAAATTTGCGACAGAATAAAGAAATCAAGAAAACTAGCTTTAGCAAAAGAAACCTGTGGCAATGACATTTACAAGTCCTCAGATATATGAAGAATTATTCTCAAGAGAAAGTAAGCAGATATTCTCCATTCCCCCTGAGGGAAGATCAAGAAGACATTACGAACTTCAAGTTGTAGCATAAGAAATTTAGATTAAAATAAAATTAAAGTTTGCTGACACAGAGTGTTGTTAAATATTAAAATGAATTGCTGAGTTTATAGAACCTCTTCTCTGAGTAAATGTCTAAAAAATGAGAGTAGATTAGAATTCTCATATGGCTCTTTCCAGCAAAATGATTACCATCACTTATATAAACAGATTAATACTTAGAAAATGTGTGAAACCTTTTTACACTATATACCTTTTACAATTATCTAATACCAAAGTGTTAAAATGGTAAGAGTATTTATCCAAACACAAAACATACACACTGAAAGTATTTATTTATAGATAATGACGTTCTTTAATAGTTCAAAAAGTGACCAATGGAACATAAAATTCTTGGCTGACACAATTCACATGTATTTTCAAATAAAAGAAGAAATATAAGTAAAAAAGAAGTAAAAGACTGAATAATTGGTATCTAAAAACTGTATCCCTGGATTTTAAAAAGATCATTGCACAACTCATAATATGAATATATATATATATGAAATTATTGAATCTATATGACATGTATAATACATACATTATATTACGTATATTACGTACTAATAAATATATGTAGTACAAAATGGAAGCAATAACCAAATGCACAGCTTTGATGAACTGCTCTTAATATCCTCTCACAATCTTACAATTTTATAAAATAAGTTCATTAAATAAACATGGAAATAGGTAACTAAAATTAAAAGGTACAAAAAGGTCATTGTCCTGTATTCTAGCAGTATTTGCTAAGTCTCACATTAATGAGCATATAATTCCTGAAACTGACAGGTTTTTTAAAAAATGTTTTAAAGTCACCAAAAGTTTAAAACTTCAAGTCAATAATTTTCCATTTGTACAGAAAGTCACTAGGATAACTCTGTGACCTAGTCACTTCTAAAATATTTTGCAGTTGTAGTCTTTACTGACAAAATATAATTCCAATAATTTAGTAAATGTTCATATTTATTGTAGTTATCATAATTTAGGAAGTTAATGTTTTTCTTTACCTTTTCTACCTTTCCACCATTGATGTCACTGGGGAGGAATTTCTTGCCAATTGTTCTTAAGTCTGTCTAAAATAAAAATATTATTATTAAAATATAATTATAGAGAAAAGTAAATCTAAATCTAATCTTACTCATAAACAAAAGATGAAATTTATTAACACCTGTAGAATAAAATTTAAATCGGTATCTTTTAGCTGATTATGAGATCTATACATACAATCGATCTTTTCAAGTAACATAGTACCATACATATGTTATTGAAAGTACATTGGTAAGTTGAACAGTAATGTTTAAGGCCTTAGTTCTGGTTATATTCCTTTCAATAACTTACTAAATCTTTTCTATTAAAACCTAATACTTGATTTTATATTACTATAGTCTTACTAAAAAAAAAATAATGCCCCAATCCCAAGCCAACTGACTACTTTTAAGTATATAAACAGAATATATTTTTGATAACTGAATCCTATATAACACTCATATGAAGAGTCATGAAAACGTTATTCTTTTGGCTGTGATATCTATTACAAAGCTATGTAACATACAAATATCCTAGGGAACAACACCACTGCAAAAGCAAGAATAGGAAGACTTTACTATAGTAAAAATCCATATTATTTGCTTAAACAAATTACAGAAGTCAAAGTTAGTGAACAAATGACTAAGTATATGAAAGTTCAAACCAGAGCAAAACAAAAATGAAAACATAAGAACTAACAAACAAAGTTACAGCATTTCTGATATAAAAACAAAACTTCAACTATACAATTTACAAAAAAGCAGAACTTTTAAGGATATTGTCCTCCTTAGGAAGTAAAAACTGAAGGAACAATAAGAAACTTGCTCAGAGGAAAATCAATACTCATGAAGAAGGCCTAATTATTTAAGCTAAGAAATTATCTTGATGACAGAGTGTGAGGTTAGACTGATAACTGAATTTATATTGTTCTGTTCTTCTTTAAAATATAACAAGAGCTCTTCATCTTCTTCAGAGCAGAATAAAAGAAAATAGACTTAGAGTGCATTTAATCACAAAAACTGTAAGGCAGAAATTCATGTTAGACTTAGGGGGGAAACACTAGATGATTAAAATTACTGTGACATAAAATGAAGACATGGAGAGAAGTCGGATAGTCTTCTTTCATCGCCTACAATAACAGAATGTCCTCTTATTTTAAATATCAGTATGTGGCCAGCTTAAGAAATGAGCATATAAATTACACAATCCCCACAGATCTTTCCAGTCTTTTACTACCATCATTCATATTTTAATTCTCAATGTAAAGCAAGGGTCACTCCTAAGCTAAAACTCACCAAGTGGAGCTGCCAGGCAAACTAAGCCCCAAATCCAAAACACTTGTGTAACAATGTGTTAGCTTTATCATCTTTGCAGCCTCTATCCAGTAACAGAGTGAAAGAATTATAAGCTTACCTTTCCACTTTGAAAATACTGAGTAGCAATGGGAAAAAAATATTTTCTTATACTAACCTTCCATATATTAGGATTGTTTTATTCCTAATGTTAATTACACATGAAGTACTTGGTACAACGAATTGCAAAGAGTAAACACTTAATGAATGTTAACAATCATGTTTATTTGTTAATAAAAGATATGTACATTTTGTTATCTGAACATGAATAATCATCAAGTTAGTAATACAACTAACAGTTCATAAAAATACAGGCATCATTTTGAAGTCACTCAAAGGCTCAAATATTTAAATATGTATGCAAAACAGAATACGTATAAATTTTATGATATACCACGGTTTCTCATTTCTGGTTTTTAGCAAAAATTATGAAATTTAATTTAAACCAAAATGAGGCATCAATATAAAGTTGAAATAAACACTAAATTAAAATCCTAAACTCTGAATCATTACAAACTGTAATTAACTAATAGGACCATGGACACTGCCACAAATTCTCTAAATCCAGCTAATTTATTCCTCTATAAAATGGAAAAAAAATATCACCAAGCTTATCTCATAAAGTTGTTACCAGGCTAAAGGGAGACATTATATTCAAAGTTTATATAACTTTTAAAGTGCTAAACACATATATAATGAATATTATTTCATTATTCTTTAAGCAAGATGAAAATGACCTACCAAATCTTTAAACATCTTAAAATCAAAATCAATTTATAAGTACTCCAAAGGCAATTTCATGATTCAGATGCCATTATATGAGGATCACTAGTAAAACTGGGTCCAAAAATGCATTTATATTGGACATAAAAAAATTACGCAGGAGAAATATTTGATCTATAACAACATGTGCACTTGTGCACACATACAAAAGATTCCTGACTATTTACTCGAGTAAGTTCAATGGAATATCTATTTGGCAAGTCATTTCATATTATGCGGAATCTTAAAAGAAATTTTTGAAAATCTGTTTTTAAATTTTTACTAATACATAGTATTCAGTAATTTAAGACTGAGCTATCACTTAATTTACTTGTGAATAATTCAGGTATTTAAGCCCAAAACTACATGCTGGATTTTAACGTCATTTCTTAGTATTTTTACTCCCCATTCTACAGAACAAAAAATTAAGAACCCTCCTTTCAACATAAAAATCTATACAGAAATGAGTTATACAGCAGCTCTGAGGCTGCTCTTTTTAGAAGGGCTTACTTTTACAAGGTTGGCTCTAGGCTGGCATGTGGGAACTTGCGCTTGAACATTTTCTAACTGAAAATGTGGTTCACTGCCTAGACTATTTATATAAACAATGTGATTTACGGTGAGCACCTGCTTTTTGAGGGGGAGGAGTCTTACAACTGTTCGTTTAGGCAGAGAGTGTCTCTATAAGCAGACCAATAAATGCGCTGGGTGCTAGTCCCTAGTGGACTTCCCTGGGCAGAAACACTGTACAGTCACCCTTGCTTTTCAAAAGTTCACATTATGCCACTTTGCTTTTACAAAAGACCTACACGAGTTTTCGCTAAATGAAAGAAATTCAAAGATTTTCATTTTATAGGCAAGGAGAAAAGCAAAAAAAGTGCTCAGTGGTTGTATTATACTGAGCATTTATAGAAACAGAATGCACCCCAAACAACGAGAGGGGCACTACCAAGCTTCTTCCCCAGGAACTATACTCAGCATCTCAGCATCAAGCTGCAAGAGTTTCGAACTGTGTTCTGCGCATCTGCACTTTCTCTTGATTTATTTTTGTGTATCCTTTAGCAAGATATGCCCTAAGGTAACAGAAAAACCTGAGAGGTTACTTTTTGGGCTTGGGAATGCTCTAAAATCTTTCCATATAAATTAATGGTAATTACTTCTTCATTCTACACCATTTTGGCTTACAAAAGGTTTTGCCCGCATGTCCTATATATTTTTTTTATTTTGCTTTTTTTTTTTTTTTTTTTTTTTTTTTTTTTTTTTTTTTTTTTGTTTTTGTTATTTTTTTTTTTTTTTTTTTTTTTTTTTTTTTGAGAGAGAGAGAGAGAAGCACACACATGAGCTGGAGGGGTCGGGGTGGAGGGATAGAAGAAGGAGAAAGAGACTCTTAGGCAGGTTCCACACTGAGCATGGAACTCAAGAGTCAGATGTTCAACTGAACTAAGCCACCCACATGCCCCAGGAATGTTCTACTTTTGGGTAGTGTGGAAAACCTATACATATATTATTGCATTTTCATTGCTAGATAAAGGAACAAGTCAGTGTGTCCCGAATGGGAGGAGGGGGACATAAGAAAGCTTATGAATGGATTATTCTCCCAATATGTAATGCTATATATAATAAAAATCAATAATACAACTCTTTTTTAACTAGTGACTAATAGCCCCTAATCTTTCAAAAGCTGAAAAAAATTCAACAGAAATACTACAAATGCCTGACTTTATTTAAAGGTCATAAGCTTGAAAGGTAAATTATCTATCTGGTGTAGACTTCATCCTAATTAAAGGTAATTCTTTTTCCTATTGTATGGCATGAAAGCTTGGATTGGCATATTCAACCATATATTTCAGAGAGAATTATAAAGACAAATTAATTCATAAAATAATGGTCATCATGTACCTCTTATATACATAGGACAAATACTTCATCTTGATTTACTTTATTTATAGTTTCACATCCAATTATAGAGAGATCATTGCTATATACCTAAGTTCATAAATAAGAAAAAGAGCAAAAAAAAAAGAGAAAAAAAGTAAAGGAAGAGAAGACTGTCACAAATACTTCATCATCTTTAGAATTTTTCTTTAATTAATAGAGTTCTTTCAATACTTTTTATAAAAGTAGAACTCACTTATTAGGCTACAAGTAAAAAAAAAGTTAAAGTGTATAGGGAATATTTCCATTTGTAGTCACAGACAACATGCATAATTTCTAAAGTTTACTTTTTTTTTTTTTAAAGATTTTTATTTTATTTACTTGACGGACAGAGATCACAAGTAGGCAGAGATGCAGGCAGAGAGAGAGTGGGAAGTAGACTCCCTGCTGAGCAGAGAGCCCATGATGCAGGGCTCAATCCCAGAACCCTGAGATCATAACCTGAGCCGAAGGCAGAGGCTTAACCCACTGAGCCACCCAGGTGCCTCTCTAAATCTCACTTTAAAAATTTTTATTCTTTTATTAAAAACCTACATTCTTAGCTCAGAAACAAAAAATGACCTTGTTAGTTTTATTGAATAAAATTCAAAGAAGCTGAAAAAAATGACAGAATTCAAGACATAAATTTTATCTGTGTAAGTCCATTTAATTGTATATAAATTAACATAAAAAGAAAAAGTTATACATGGTTATATATTTATTCATATTTTAAATGTTATCAGTTGCTGCCATTTCTGCTTCACATTGTACCTGTGTTGTAGTGATATGGTGGATCTGTCATTCTCTTATGAACAAGAGAATAAGTAATTCTCTTATGAATTTTGTTGACTATCACAATGTATAAATTTAATTTAATAAATTATACATTTAATAGACTGTTATTATAAAGATAATTTGAAAATGCTCCCAATGGGGTAACTGGAAAGATGAAAAAAAGAATATTCATTTACTTACACCTAAATTTCAAACAATTTTTATAACTCTTCAAAAAAATCCAAAAGCAAATCCAATTATGGAAAAGATACAGCTATAGAGATAGGTAGAAGGAGAGAGACTGAAAAGAAATATAGATACAACATAACTGTAATTATGGATAGCCTTAATTTTCTTATTTTACTTTTGTTTTCTGAAGTGTTCTACAATATACATTACTTTTATCGACAGGATAAGTTATTTTGGAACAAAAAATACAACTGTCAAAAAGCTATAACCTACCTGGAGTTCCTATGTTAATAAAATGATTTGTTTTAATAAATATGAATAGTAGTTTCTGCTATTATATATCTACTGTAAATGTTATGAAAGTCTCTGATCACTGGGGGGAAATGGGAATCTTAATTGCATTTTTTTCCTTTCTTATTGGATTCTATATAACAGTTGTTATAAGAAACATAAATTTCTAAAAATTGGGTTGATATGAGATTACCGAATTCAACAAACATCACTGCAACTTAAAATACACAGTAAAACCAAAAGATGTCCTCCATATACTTTTCTTAAAATCCAGATTATTCTGTAAGACATTTTTCATGAAAGCTTCTAGATTTAAAATGTTTATAAGTTAATAAATAAAACCTACATTGAGAGCAATCAGGATGATGTCATTTATATTGACTTTGTCAGGAGAACTTGTGCAAGCTTCAATGCCTTCATCTGAAAGATACCTGTTAAAATAAAATAAATGACTTAATATTTCCTAAAATCAAAATTAACCAAATTATATTCTTAGGTCAACATGCAATTTTGTTCCATACTATAAAAAGCTTCTACCATAAATATTAGGGAAAGAGCTCTGGATATTCCATTTATTTACCATCTCTGATAGAACAAATGGGTAACACATATTTTCCCTCTTTCGTATCCTTAAAGGGATGCTGTATCAATAAAATTATCCATACGCTTTCTGAGAAAAGCCATTTAAATATCAAAATACTTCTTAATGAATGTATGAGCTACTCCTACTATTATGCAAATATAGTATCTGTCTTAAATATTTGTTAATACAGAAGTTCTTAGAGACTGGAGATGTGCTATAAAAATAGAACTAAAAATAACAGATTTAAACTTAATCCATGACAATTTCCTCTGTCTGCTACTTTCTTAAATTATCTTCTCAGGTTCCCTTTCCTGGACATTACATTCCCGAGAAAGATTTAGTAAATATTATTGACTTAAAGTGGCACAAAGATAGGCAACTTTTTAGTTTATACCTTTTACTTTTCCTGTTCTCTTTTCAGTTTCTTTACTCATTGTCTTATTGCCTTTTGATCTTTTATTCAGTCTAAACCAGTATCACATCTGTTGCAGACAATAATTAATTCAAGAGTAAAAAGATTATTGATTCCAGGGAGAGAATAATTTCTACTCATTCATTCATGCTCAATGCAGGCATTTTAAAATTCTTCGATAAATTCTAGAATTCAGGTATTATCTCCCCCAAAATCCACCTGTACAAATGCCCATTAACATCTCACATCTTTTACTTTTTTTAAGATTTTATTTTATTTTTTTTTAAAGATTTTATTTATTTATTTGACAGACAGAGATCACAAGTAGGCAGAGAAGCAGGCAGAGAGATAGGAGGAAGTAGGCTCCCTGCTGAGCAGAGAGCCCGATGCGGGGCTCGATCCCAGGACCCTGGGATCGTGACCTGAGCCGAAGGCAGAGGCTTTAACACACTGAGCCACCCAGGTGCCCCTAAGATTTTATTTTTAAGTAATCTCTATACTCAACATGGGGATCAAGAGTGGCACACTCTACCACCTGAGTCAGCCAGGCACCACCCATCTCACATCTTTTAAAATCAGTATCAACTACTTTAACAAAAAGGCTGGTGCCAACATTGCCGTTGTAGACATTGTCCCACTGAAAAGATACAGGAGTGTTAATCTGACAGCAAGCTCGCTCCTGATAGCCAGCAATTCCACCACCAATACCCAACATTGGAGTGATTCCAAGACACATATCAATGTAAACTCTACCTGGAGACAACAACCAACAAGTCTTTAAGGAACACAGACTCAATAATTTCTCAAAAATGAAGGAGCAAGTGAAAAGAAATGTAAATTGAAGAATGCAAAAGAACAATAAGAGATTAAAGTTGATAAGCCTAGAACAAGACCACGGAGATAAAAGTATACATATCAAAGCAAGAATGTATGAGTTGAAGACCATGGCAGTACTAAACTACAATGATGAAAGAAGGCAAGTAGTTAACCAGGTTACAGAGGAAAAACAGAAGTGTTAAGTATGTACATAAGTCAGTAAGAATGAATGCAGGGGAGACAGTAATATCATAGTATACAAGTGATCAGGGAATACAAATGTCTATGTCAGCACAGATGGTTGAAACACTGCTTTAATTCAAAATGGCTATTAATTTCCTTACTATGTTGTTAAATTTTCATTGGGCCTACCCACTGACTATATGCCATTAATCATCTTACAAATTCAGTTTTAGAAATATTAAGTCCCTATTTCTGTGAAAAGTAGTATGTGAGTCAGTAATAAGATTAGTAAAATGATGAAAATTAAACACCTGCCTTCAAGAAGTTCACTGCCTCATAAACAGCACAACACAATAAATATATAAACATGCAAGGCCAAAATATTATAAATGAAACATTACAGGGGCTCAAAGCAGCTAGGGGATGGGAAAGAATGCACAAAAGGGAATAGTATAAGCAACAACATAAAAGTAAGAAGAGTAAAATAGATTCTAGTGATAATAACCTGTAATATTCTGGCTGGAAAATGGGGAAAAAATGAGAGATGAGTATAGATTGAGATGGATTATAGAAAGCAACAGTACACAAAGAGATATGGTGATTGATCAGATATGCTGATTGAGTAATTATAAAAACACAACTTTCAAAATTCCTACACAATGTGGAAATAATATGCAATGACTAATAAAATACTTCGTTTTTCTAGAAAGGCATACCTTTAGAATTTAAAAGGTCATAGGAAGTGAGATGATCTGGAATAAATCTTTAAAATAATCAAAATTTGGGGCACCTGGGTGGCTCAGTGGGTTAAAGGTTCTGCCTTAGGGCACCTGGGTGGCTCAGTGGATTAAGCCTCTGCCTTTGGCTCAGGTCATGATCTCAGGGTCCTGGGATCGAGCCCCGCATCGGGCTCTCTGCTCAGCGGGGAGCCTGCTTCCCCCTCTCTCTCTGCCTGCCTCTCTGCCTACTTGTGATCTCTCTCTGTCAAATAAATAAATAAAATCTTAAATAAATAAATAAATAAATAAAGCCTCTGCCTTTGGCTTAGGTCATGATCCCAGGGTCCTGGGATGGCGCTCTCTGCTCAGCAGGGAGCCTGCTTGCCTTCTGCTCTCTCTCTGCCTGCCTCTCTGCCTACTTGTGATCTCTGTCAAATAAATAAATAAAATCTTTAAAAAATAAAATAAAATAATCAAAATTTACCTCTTTAGTTCTACAGATGAGGAAAAGAAGGCCCAAAGATATTAACAGAACTTCCCCAAAATAGAAAATTAAGTGACACAAAGTTAAGACAAGATTGCCCCCTGACTCCCAGTTCACCAGTCTTTTTATTACAACATGCAATTCTTATTTACTAACTACAACTGCTAAAGTTAGAAATAAGATCTTTTCACAAATGTAAGCCAGTATCCACACAAATCAATTTCCTGGTCCACTAGACAATTTTACCAAACACACAAAAAGGGACAACTAGGCAAACTCAATCAGTGAGCTTCACAATATATTAAAGAAGAATATATCTAGGGGCATCTGCATGGCACAGGTCCTGATCTCATGGTCATTAGATCGAGCCCCGCATCTGGCTCCATGCTCAGCACTAAGTCTGCTTAAAATATTCTCTCCCTCTTCCTCTGCCCCTTGCCGCCAAGTGCTCTCTTTCTCCCTCAAATAAATAAACCAATCTTTAAAAAAAAAAAAAAAAAAAAAGTCTAGTTTCATAGTAAAAGATCAGAGAACTAATACTAATAATTAGAGATTTTAAAATTGTAAAAACATAAAAATACCTATCCCTACATAATATAAAAAGGAAAACTCTAAAATTGTAAAGATAGAAGCCATAAAGAAGGAGAAATTTGACTTTATACATGTGTAAGTCAACTATCATGTGATTTCTTTCAAATAATGCCTATTAAATGCCTCCTGAATATAACAAATTTTAAAATGTGGCTCAGTCTCAATTTCCACATCTTACAAGTCTCTCTTACTCACCCTTCATATTTTGAAAAATCAAAGGATTTGAGCCTTACAGCTATACTCCTATCAAGAACAGTAGACTTATTCATAGCTCTCTCCAGTAACATCTTGGTGATCCTTCTGTAAATACTATACCATTTCCACTGAAGGACTGAATCTAAATTAACCATAACTTGGGACTTACAAATTCATCTTGTTTTTATAAACATTTAAAACTCCAACACTATCAATGAATAAAACAAATAAAAACTAATACTAATAAAAGTCAAATTCCCAAATTGGGAATTACTGCATGACAGTAATGCAATAACTGAAAGAACGAGACACAAAATTCAGCAGTCTTAATGTGAGAAATTTGGAGAAAGACAAGAATTGAAAAATTAGAGCAAGCGTGCCAGATCTGATCCCTGTACACATCTGCACGATGGACCTGGAGGGAAGAGAATTATAATCAGTTCCCATATACCATCTCAGAGCACGTAAAACCCAAGGGCATACAGACCTTAAAGAAGAAACAAACCTCAGAGAGCTCTTATTTACTAAAACAGCAAAAGCACATATTTTCCATTCTAGCAGAGATTTTGGAACAGTGATGTTATAAAATCACTCATTACTATTCTGTACTAAAAATACATTGAAATATATTTTATTGACATGCAAGGCACTAAGGGCTAAATTTCTTCATGATACAGAATAGACTAACATTTCTCACTAATTTTAACTTCAAATAATGTCATTTTAAGTCACAGTTTAATAAGTGCTCAAATTAAAAAAGAGATTTTAGAAACTCCTTCCTTTTCTTCATAAATAGAAGACATAAAAATTCCATCTTACTCAGAGTCATTTAATTTGTAATCCTGAGCAACTCTTTTCACTTTAGAAGTGAAAGCTTCAAAATTATTATCCACCAATTTAGGGGAGAGGGATTTCCTATTACAAAGAACAAATATATATTCAATGAGAAGGGTCACACACAGCCTAAGCACTACTACCAGAACCATCCTCATTTCATGTTCAAAAGTCACCTGGGCATAAAACAAACAAACAAAAAAAACAACCACGCCCAAACTACAATTCAAGAATCTTAACTGATAGAAAACTGTGATAAAACAAATATAATTATTTTAATCTCATTTATTTGATTGAGATAGTGGATCACCATTAACACCTCATTACCAATAAGGGAAAAAGACAGCCAATTTCCCTTTCATTCATTCCTCTGAAGCAGGTAAAATCCTTGAGCCTAACTTATTCGCTGGCTACGATGGGCACAGAATGTGGAGGACAAGGACAAACTGAAGGCTACATGCCTCATCTACAGGGAACAGCCTTAACTTGCCTCTGGTTGACTCTCTGTAGGAGGACAGGTAAAGCAGTTAGTATTAGAGCTTCTCATTTTTAGCTTTTAGTGTTTTGTAAAGCAATATATATGCCAAACAAAACAGAGTTCAGGTGCATGTGGA